TAGGGAGCAAAACCACAATTTTCCCTCTAATAATATAAGCAAAAGGTGGGGTGGTTTTGGATCATAAAGCTAAGTAGGAATGGGCACGGATCGGTTCGGAATGGTAGATGACTCTTATGTTAACCAAACCAAAGACTTCGATAGACTTTGGATTGATTAACCTAATATTCGGTTCGGATTGGTTCGGTACGCCAGTAGTACCGTAATAAAACATACTAATAAAAATACAATTTATACTACTTTCACATAACATAAGTTCTTGAATAAATATACCAAATTATCCTTGTAAAATATAAAAATCCAATAGTCTAATTCATCCAAGTATGAAATCAAATAACTTAGTCACTATATAACTCAATATGTACTGAAGATGTTCTGGGAGCCACTTGTGTTTGTTGTTTGAAACTTTGAGTGTTCTTTTTATTGAATTCTCTACATTATGTAAATGATTTTGACATTTGTTCCGCGATGAGTTCTTTAGATTTTAATGTGGAATCCAACCATATAAAGAACATAAAATTTGGATCAACGGTTGGAAAGTTATAGGTAAAAAACCGAACAAAGGTCAAAATTGGAAAACACATGTTTGTGCCTAATAAATCACGGTCATAAACTGACTGAAGGGACTTCCTCTCGGCCCTAGCACCTACTCATGAACTGAAACGGCCACGTTTCGTTATGCATTTCGCCTTCCTAAAAACAAAAGAAAAGCTGCAAAGGCAGAATCCTCTCAGCCTCGCGACCGCGGTATTATAAGTCGAAGCCGAAGGCCGTAAAAGACACGGCCGAAGATACTGTGGTCAAATCACCATGTGGCCTCAGGTCCCACGCCCCATTTAATGCAGTAATGCCTCTGACTATCGCAGCAAGCCCACTAGTCGCAAGAAGCATCTAATGCACGAGGGGAGATGGGAAGTGACTGAAGTCAGGATTTAGTAATGGAAATCAGAGTGGTTAGGCGCAAACATTCTCACAAGTATGCTTACAACTTGAGGTCATATCACCAACCACCAGAACAGGGCATTAAATGCGTTCCCACGGCCAAGGGGGCAGAACCCACGATCAGGGCGGTGACCGAGATTTACCCGGATTCATGGGGGTCACACCACCATGCTTCACGATCCCAAATGCCGATTTGACTACCCACTTGCCCCGATCAGGCTCTACTACGCAGATCTTTTCAGCCTCGATTGTCCCTCCAGGACTCCCCCTGTAAATACTAAGCTTAAGACTACATTCAAGGGGTTCAAACACTAAACCAAAAGCCTCCCACGGAGCAAATTATGTTTTCCTGTAATGCACTTTCAATACCTTTATTTGCTTTCCTAGGAGTAGTGGTAGATTGTAAGGAAAATCCATTCATCAATATATCATATGACCCTTGATTTTCAAAGCGCCAGAGCACCATCCCTGTTATTATCTCATTCACCCCATATATCATACGACCGTCGCTCTTTGAGTAACGCGCCGGAGCACCGCCTAAAACCCGCCACCAACACCACCACTAAACGGCCTTGTAGCTTAGGCCGTGAACCTGACGGCCGAGATCAGTTCCTCTCTCGGCCACAATCGTTTGATAAGGAGTCGAACTCGAAACAGGCGTATCATTTAACCATCTTCGACCCAAACCACATCACCATCTCGACGCACAGTAGATCGTGCTGGCATGCCCGCGCACAACTGCACCGCATCCAAAAGAAGGACGTCACGTGTCAAAGCACATCTCCTCGGCCCGGAGCACCAGGCCGTGAGATTTGCTCAGCTAACAACACAGGAAGTTCATAAATTCCTCTATGACCAAAAAGTGCTACAGTTCCCAGGTGATAAAGAAGTGATACAATGGTGATAAAGCAATGATACAATGGTGATAAAGCAGTGATAGAGTGATACAAAATGCTGATTGTATTTACCTTTGGTTTATTGTTTTTTATTTAAATAATAAAATAAGTATACATATCAGATCGGTACGGGTTTCCGTCGGGTTAGGGATATTGTTTCCGTTAACCAAACCAAACATTTCAGTACGAATCGGATCGGAATAATTAAAATTAAAAAATAATTATTTAACCAAATAAAACCAAACAATCGGTGCGGTACGGCTAGTACGCGGATAATTCGGATGAGATGCCCATCATTTGAGCTAAGCTAGTTTTCCATGTCTGGAGTTGTTGAGGGTATTGTTGTAACTTCGACTCCTTGGTTTGAACCAATCTTCTTGTTGTCAATGGCTTGGAGAAGCCCAGGCGAATGCTTGCGACCTTCATGGTCGCGATCAGTGTTTTCAAAGGCATGCCTTCGCGCGCGTCGGCGCGAGGCGGGAGGAAAACGCCCGAGGCGTCCGGCTGTTTCGCGATCTGCACGTTTAGCGCAGGGAAGGCGTGAGGAGGCGTTGCAAGGCGTGTCCAGGCGGAGCGAGGCGTGAGGAGGCGTTGCAGATCTGGAATCTTCTGAAACGGAAGAAATTGAAAGTGCAAATTTTTTTTGGGGAAGAGGAACTCGGGGGGAAGACGACTCGTTTTTTTTTTTTTTAGGTTTGTAACGAAACGACGTCGTTTTGGTTGCAAAGTTTTAAAAACAATCTTATAGTGAAACAACGTCGTTTCACTTGGAGTGTGTTTTTAAAAAAAAAAACTGCAAGTTTCAGTTTTTTGTTTTCCTTACCTTAATTGTAATAGGCAAGAATTAATATCTTTAATATCTTTCTTTTTCTTTCCTAACTCCAACCGGCTGTAGCTTTGTACTTAACTTTTTTTTTTTTTTCTCTAATTTAATATATTAACACATGGACTATATATATATATATTGTATAGTACGTGTACAACCCTAATTTCTATCCTTACCAGATAACTCCATCAATTTCAAGAATTCTCTTTATCTTTCGATTGCAAGTAAGTCTTCTTTTTTTTCTTTTTCTTTTTTACGTACATGCATCATACTTGTATAATTTGACTGTAATAAACTATAATTTGAAGTTTCGTATAATTTTTTTTCAATATGTTTTAAATATACTAGTTATTTTTTTTCTTACGTACATGCATCACACTTGTATCTTGGAAATATTAATTGTATTGTTTTATAGATATGAATCGAAAAGATCCTGCGTGGAAGTATGCAAAAGAAATAGAGGGGGAAAAATACTTGAGATGCGCATTTTGTGATCAAAGATGCAGTGGAGGAATTTCTAGACTTATATTTGATTATATTTAAAAGATTGTTATAGTTGAATAAGAATTAGTTGTACAATTTAATCGTATTGTATTATTCATAAATTTTTCTTATTAAAATAACTTAATGTTCAAAAGGCTTACGCCTCAATGCCTCAAGGCTTACGCCTCGCATAGCGCTACTAAAAACGCCTCGCCTATACGCCTCGCCTATGAAAACATTGGTCGCGATGACAATGGCAACATTGGGGGCTAGGTCTAGTGATGAAAGCTCCAAACATGGCCCCAAACACAAACGTTAGAACAGGCCTTTGCATATCCGCTTGGCTCATTTCGCTCAAATTTATTTTGATCCGAAAGAAAGCTAGATGATGGTTTGATATTACGGAGTGAAGTTTTTGAGATTGAAAGTGTGAGGAAAATGGAAGAGTTAAATGAGATTTATATGGATCACAGGAGGTTCACTGTTGGGGAGTTGGTTAGTTTGAGAATTCATTTAGTGCGTGTTCTCAATTCTCAAGGGAAAGCCTATTGCAAGTGGTTGTTTGCTATTGCAAGTTTATTTGATGGAAACCCAAACCAGTGGGTTTGAAATGTGTGCTGCTTAAAGCTTTTTAGTGGGGGGATTAAGTAATTATCCTTACGAATACTAACAGGTTGATTAGCCATGTAGTCACCTGGCCCCACCAAATGTTGTCTCTATATCTCATGTTTTCGTCCTACTTCTGGGATTTCTAAGGAATTGTTCGTAATGGAAAGACCACCACCAACTGCTAAGCTTAGTTTATTACGAGTCAAACGATAAGATAGTACTCTGACGCACACCAACCATTTTTTCAACATGTCCTATAAACAGACAGTTACCTTAAAAATTTAGAAATTATTGTGTGTGAACATATAAATAAACAAATGAAATGCTACCATAAGTTGAAATTTTAGAAATTGGGAGAATACTTTTTTTTTTAGCTGGGACAAAAGAAAAATATAAAACAAAGCCCACGCGAACAGCCACCGGCAGAAAGGTCAAAACGAAGAACTTGACTGGCTTCAACATGAAGGGAATGAATCCATACATGAGGAGAAATGAATTTATGGCTTAAATCAGCTAGGATGTTAGCTTCTCTATAAACATGGCTGACAATGAAACTCTCAAAGGAGCGAGCAAGTGTTGGATATTCTGGATTAATGTACGTCTTTGCACACCAAGGAATTGAGCATTTCTTAAGGGGAAATTAGGATAAGACTTGGTGCCCTTAAAATTATTATATTTTCATAATGGAACTAGGACATATTTTAAATAAGTAATAATAGAGGGGGGTACACGTTAATTAATTGCTACATCATGTGTGATCAATTATATATATTATGAGCAGAATTAGTCAAGTTCACTAGAGCGGATGTGCTCCCTATTCTGCATCCGAGTTCGAATTCCCCTACCCGTAGTTTAGATTAGATTAAAGTATAGAATATCACTTGTATAAAAAAAAAAAAAACTATTTATATTATGATTTCTTTAGCATTTTCCTAGTTCAACATAAAAGATGTTGGTCAAAATATGGTTGTATAATTAGTTTCATAATTCAATTTAAGGCCAACTTGTCATTACACTTTAGATTATGCTAAGAGCGAAAGAGTACAGATTAATACGTTCAAAAGCATTATAATATTATAAGAACCAATTATTACATCACGGGAGCTTGAATATTTCTCTTGAATGTTTTTGCCACGCAGCAGACAGGAGTACTAAATCTGATAGGCCAAAATGTGATCAGATTTTGCTCGCTGTCAACCACAAATGAAAAGGATGCTAGTGATACTAACCACCCAATTGATAAAAAAAATCTAACTCCTGCACCATTCATGGACCATATCCCAATTTCAGACACCACCCTCACAATTTGATTATTATTCCATATTTCTATAAATATTTATCTATTGTCTAGTGGTTGCTATCTGCCAATTCTGATTTGTAGAGTGAAAATGGGCTTCAGGGGTTCCAAGGCAGTTGCTCTTTTCATTCTCTTTAACATCATATGTTTGTCTCTTGTTTCCTCTAACAAGGTTCCATGCCCTCCTACAAGTCCTTCCTCGCCTGCCTCTGTCCCAAAGAAGCAAGACAAATGCCCTAGAGATACCCTTAAGTTTGGCGTTTGTGGCAGTTGGTTAGGGTTGGTGACCGAGGTTATTGGGACTAAACCCAGCAAGGAATGCTGTACCCTAATCAAGGGTCTTGCAGATCTTGAAGCTGCATTGTGTCTCTGCACTGCTATTAAGGCCAATGTCTTGGGAATTGTCAAGCTCGAAGTGCCTGTTGCTCTTAGTTTGCTTGTTAGTGCATGTGGAGGAAAGGTGCCACAAGGTTTTGTCTGTGCTTAATTAGAAACTGTCTACCTAGCTAGCTCTGAATTACTTCTTGATGTACTTATTGATATTTTCCATTTCTGCTATGTTGGAATAAACCAGATTAATTTAATTATGTTGTGTGGACAAAGGAAGAACAATATTGGAAATGAATGATGTTGTACGTACGGTTGATGCGCTGGTTTTCCAAAGAAATAAAGTTAGCAATTCTAGCTATGTAATCATATCATCTTGCTATGTTGAATTAAAACCACACATATTTAAGGATGAATCTACTGATCTATAGGAATGAGTGACAATCAGGCAATGCTTTATTGCCAGGCTTATTTTGCCAAAGAGTATGATGTTGTCAAATGTGAATTTAGACCACACATTCAAGATATTAACATTCTTCGTTGATTTGTAGAAATGAGATATATAAAACTGAATAATCATGACATGTAGGTTCATTTAATTTTAATTGTCCAATATCAATAATAAAAACCACCAATGCTCATAGCCTGAATGGAATGTAGGGAACACACTACATATCAATTACATTTGGAAGGAAACATGCATGATGTATTTCAGCCAAAGATTAATGGCCTTTTTTTATTCACAAAGATGTGGAAAGGGCAGTAGCGGATGAGAAGGTCATGGCAGCCCTAGGTGCATTGGAAGCCTGTTGGGACAGACTTACCACAGTAATTCAAAAGCAAGCTTAAGGAGACTGGCACATTAAGATTGATGCCCAAAACGTTGGCTTTAATGGCAGTGCAGAGGCATACAGCAGCTTCAACATCAGCAAGACCCCCAATAAGGCTACAACAAGGAGTCTTTGGTGGGGTCCCCATGACAAGGTGCACCAAACCATTCAACAAATCACCACATACCCCTAGCTTAAGGGTGTCCTTAGGGCAAGAGGCTTTAGCTGGAGGGATTGAGGTTGAGGGAGGAGGGTGTTTTGGGGTTTTTGGTGGTGGTGGACAATTAGGAACATGATGATTTGAACTCACTGTAGTGAAAAATACAAGGTTAAGGGAGAGAAGAAGAGCAATGGTTGCAATTGCCTTAGAAGAAGCCATTTTAGAACTAAATTCCCTTAGGCAGTCAAGTGACTGATTGATATACTTGTCTTAACTTGTAGATGGATTTTTAGGTGGTGGATATAATGAACAGAATTAGGGTATTTATAGTCCTTTTTCTTTTGGAATCTAAATTTGTCAAAGGCACCCATGTGAGTACACAGTGAACACTATTTTGGATCTAACTCTGTCACTTGCTGGCCTGCGGTGCAACTTGAAGAATAGGCCAGATTTCAACTTCGGAGCTTTCTGAATTTTACGCTTTCTTATATGAGGCACCAAAACAAAAGGACACCCTTGTTCTTTCAGAGAGGTTTAAATCTCTTAATCGATCGTCTCCGCATTTGGCCAAAATGTTTCCAAGAATCAAGATTCTCCGTCCACTAGCTGGGGGGTTTCCTTTTGTATAATGAAGTTGAGGGAAAAGGACAGGTAGTAGCCAACATCGGTCTTGGTTGTGTAGATATAAATACTCTGAAAATGAGTTCATAATGAAAAAGAGCATTGATTTCGGTACGTAAATAAATGCTCTCTACCACTGAGTCGGACACGAGATTTCACTTCGACAAAAAGGAGTAGTAGTGTAATGAAAAACTAGGTAAACTACCAATGCTCGAAGACTAAAAAGATAAGAAGTAGCAAAGTTTTCAATTCAAAGGGAAATATATGAGCATTGCTTGAAGAGAACATTGTCCATATTAGTTACATTTCGAAGGAAACATGCCTAATGTATTACAGCCAAACATTAATGGCCTGTCTTTTATTGAAACAAAGCTGTTGAAAGGGCAGCAGTAGGTGAGAAGGTCATGGCACCACTAGGCGCATTGGAAGTCTGTTGGGACAGATTTACCGCAGTAATTCAAAAGCAAGCTTAAGGAGACTGGCACATTAAGATTGATGCCCAAAACGTTGGCCTTAATGGCAGTGCAAAGACACACAGTGGCATCAACATCAGAAAGACCAGCAATGAGGCTACAACAAGGGGTCTTTGATGGGGTCCCCACAACAAGGTGCACCAAGTCATTCAACAAATTGCCACATACCCCTAGCTTAAGGGTATCTTTAGGGCAAGAGGCTTTAGGAGGGCTGGGGCTTGGGGGAGGGTATTTTGGGGTTGGGGTTGAGGGAGGAGGTTGTTTTGGGGTTGGGGTTGTGGTTGGAGGAGGTTGTTTTGGGGTTGGGGGAGGGTATTTTGGGGTTGGGGTTGAGGGGGGAGGGTGTTTTGGGGATTTTGGTGGTGTTGGTGGACAATTAGGTACATGATGATTTGAACTCACTGCAGTGAAAAATACAAAGTTAAGGGAGAGAAGAAGAGCAATTGTAAATGCATTATGAGAAGCCATTTTAGAACTAAATTCCCTCAGCCAGTGAAGTGACTGATTGATATTCTTGGGTTAACTTGTAGATGGATTTTTAGGTGGTGGATATAGATACTAGTGAACACAATTAGGGTATTTATAGACTTTACTTTTATGAAAATAATCTAAATTTGTCAAAGACACCCATGTGAAAGCACAATTAGCATACACTGTTTGAGATGTAACTCTCTCACTTGCTGGCCTGGGGCCAATGCCGTATTCAATTTTGGAGCATTCTGACTTTTATGCTTTCTAATATATGGCACCAAAACAAAAGGACACCCTTTGTTCTTATTAGTCAAAATATATTTTGATCGTGTCCTCATTTGGCCAAAATATATCCTAAAATAATCAGGATTCTCCTTCTACTAAAGAGAGTTACCAGCCGACAGGGTGTGCAGATAAATATTCTCTATCACTTAGTTTCTAGTAAGAGATATCATTTTGACAATGGGGAGCATCCATTGGGTAGATAAATGCTTCTTACCATTGAATCCATAATATATTGAGAGATATCACTTCGACTACAAGGAGTAATGAACAACTAGAAACTAATGTCGACCCGATAAACAATCAAACTGGAACCTTCTAAACCCCACCAATGTCACCCAGCAGTTAAAATGACCCTACTAATTACAATTACGATAATGCTACGGATACGTACTTGTTATAATTATAATTATAATTATTTTTTATTTTATTTTAGTTATAATAAGGTATAGTAGTATGAAAACTACGAATCACTATGCCTTCAATTAACATTAGAAATTTAGGATCTTTGTTGAAGCCAATTTCATTAAGGTAAACTGCTGAAATGCCCCCTGAATTTGTACCCAATTATCAATTTACCTAATGTCCTTTTTTTTTTTTGGCGAATTAAGGGCTCGAATTAAATTTTATTATCAATTCTCCCCCTATCGTCTAAATCAACATGTCATCCAATAATCCGTCAAATCATTAAAAATATATATTTTAAAAAAATTAAAAGAAAAAAAAAACAAAAATGAAAAAAATAAATCCGTCAAGTCAAAACACCACCGACACCCAAAGCAAGAACCATAACCAGACCTGAGTCTGGGACAAAAAGAAACTCTCAATTCATAAAACAAGTAGTTGCTTTGCTGCTGTTTGCTTGTTTGTAATCTCATGAGCCTCCTCCATTCCTATAAAAGAAAAGGAAAATGTGGACTCAGTTTGGACTTTTTCTGCTGTATTATATTCACCCAATAATTTGATGGGTGACGGTGCATGTTTTATTTTCTCAATCACAGACAGATCATAGTCGCCCCCCCTTGCGGTCTTCTTCTCCACCCCATTCCCCCATGACCACCAACCCTTCACTCCAAACCTGGAACGGATCCAGGATTTCAAACTTGACTGGGCTAAATTTACCTTACAAATAAACATACTAACACTACTACATTTTACAGTTTGGGCGACGAAAACAATTCCGTCGCGCAAAGATGAATGTAGTCCCAAAAACGTAAGCGCGACGGAAAAGTCGTCGCGCAGCATCCGTCGCGCGAAGTTCGTGAAGAAAGATATTGCGCGACTAAAAACTTCCATTCGTCGCACAAAATGTGCAGGGACGGCAGTATGTTGCGTCGCACAAATATTTGCGCGACGAAAATGTATTCGTTACGCAAAATTTGCGCGACGGGACATTTTTGTCCTGCAATTTTCGTCGCGCAAAAGTTAGAGCGACGAAAAAGCTTTCGTTACGCAATCTTTGAATGACGGAAAATGTTCGTCGCGCAAATATATGCACGACAGAAATATTTTACGTCGCGCAAAAATAAAAAATGTTTTAATTTTTTATTTTTAATTTGCCCGACCAAAAGCAAGGTTTTCGTCGTGCAAAAAAATATATGTTATTATTTAAATTTAATTTTCCGTTTCTTTTATTTTGTTAATTTAAATTTAAAATTTGGTTAATTTTTTTTTTCAATAAAATAAAATTGCATTCAAAAAATGTAATGAAGAGAAAAGAAATGTTATAAAATAATATAAATGTAATTACAAGAAAAATTGTTAAAATGTAATAACAAATAAAAAACTAATCGAATAAAGTTCCAAAATCAACGTGGTCGTCTGCGAGATGCGACTCGGACGTCTGGGCATTGTCGGCAGGGGTAGATGTCTGGTAGCCAGGTTGGGGGGGCTGGGAGGTCGAGGAGGAACCAAACTGCGGGATTGGAATGCCTGACCGAGCAAGGGACTCTAGAATCATAGACATCTGACCCTTAAGCTCGGCCATCGTCGCTGTCAAAGCAGTCACCTCGTTTGACTGCGACGATGAACGGGATATAGGTTCCTGCCGCCGGGCATTCCCCATCCCTCGACAATATGTCCCGGGCCTCTTCCCGAGAGTCTGATCCAACGTCTCCGTTAAGATTTGAAACCCCGCATCCTGTGGAGGATGCACAGACTCGAGCGGAGTATCGGGAGGAAGTTGGGAGGCAGACTCCTGAAGAACAACG